ACCACCCAAATGTCAATGATGYATCCTCCACTGCATGCTGGGTTCTGAGAGCCCAGTGTCTCTACTCTCTACTACTATAGCTGAATTTGTCAAGAGAATAGCAAAGGCAATGGCTCCAGTTTTCTTGGATGGATTTAGGAGGCCCAGACTACCGACATTAATCCCTAATCCTGGCAAGGACTGTCAGTGTTTAGTGTTTATTAYAGACAGCAGATATTTAGATAAAATGTGATGCAAACTTGTAATAACATTTCATATTTATAATGATGCACTTCAAAATGTCATTTTAGGTAGATAAAAAGTAGAGATTCTTGACGGCAAGCACCCATCCACAAAAGCTGGGTAACTCAAGTGTCTCTTTATTGTTCCACAAACACTGTGCTAAATACCTCCTAAGTGATGTGTAGGAAATTCCAAAAGACCTCTTTATAATTTCAAGTTTCATCATTAAAAATAATGGGAAAGTAACTCCAATCAAACTAACATTCTTGCTCATAACAATTATAAACACTGGTCAAAACATTAATGACACCAGAGAGCAACCAAAAGTAGGCAGAAAAYTGGATGGGTTGTGAGCTGGGGGGTGGGATGCAAAAAAGAAGCAAACCACAGGAAATCCACAYCCATGTAGCCTTCCCGTGAAGGTAACTTCCAGGTCCACACAGCACAAGAGGGAGACAGACAGTGAAAGCAGACAATGAAAGTTTTACTGGATGGRGAGCCAGAGGCATCTGGAGCTGTCAAAACAGCTGGAATTTGAAGAGAAGTCCTGGAAAAGACAACCACAGAAGAAGCAGCTCAAAGTATGCATAGAACTCTATTCAAATCCTTTAACAATTCACTATGCAGAAGCAAATGGAATTCAGGAAACCAAGAGGAAGCACGAAACTCAAGAGTGAAAAAGCAGGCAGAAGGCTCCTGGTTAGRGCCTTGCCAAATTAGTGGGCCTTGATAAACACTCCAGGGTTTGGTCAAGCCCTCACACTTTCCACAGAACTCTCTGAAGGGTCCTTAGAAATAAGGACCACATCTCAAGACTAAGATTTCACCTGTTAGAAAGAGAAGCAAACCTATTCTCAAACTAAGCCTCCATYAGATCAAGGTTATCTCTCAGGAATGGAACTGCCTACTAAAACAAAATTCAACATTCTTTAGTAGAAAAACCTTTTAAATGCATCAACCACAATGTCCAGTCAATAATTAAAAACTAAAGCACACTCA